TCATTGCAGTATCCGATGAGTGCCGATGTGACGTTGAACGTTGAAGTACCGTATGATGATCATTTTGATATGATAGCTCATACTGATGCGTGGTGTCAAGATGATTCAATAGCTCGAATTATGAACGATACCGGTGTGCTGATTCTATTTCCCTGTGGACGTGTCGACTCGGATGAACCGATTGAACGTGTGAATACGGTTAGTTTTCGTTATTTTTGTTTCTTCATGTGTTTCTTTTTATTTCTTTTAGTGTCCATCATTTTTCTCACTGGATTTTCTGTAGAGTCTGATTGAAGTCTGCGGACATTATCCATAATAAATTATCCATAGTAATAAATTGTGCATGTGATATATTTTAGTCCTTTGGAAACTCTTTGTATGAATGAGTTTTCTCTTTTTTTCAGATCAAATTGAGGGGACCTGTCGCGAAAGTTGAGGAAGCACGTCGTCGATTACGTGTGAGTTTCGCAGCTTCTCAGATGATTCGATTGATTTTTAGAGCGCGGAGCATGGTTCCTTATTTAAAAAAGTGATTTATGTTCCTATGAATAACTATTGTTCCTGTAAAGGATCTATGCCCGGTGACAATCGCCATCCCACTTTTGGATCTTAAAGCNGATTTGACAATCGACGGAGTGAAGGAGTTGATCGGCAAGGCGATTGCTGACAAAAGAATTGACTCATCTCATCTTGAGATCACTGTTATGCAGAAATCAGTGGACAAAGAAGATGTTGGTTCATTTGCTGTTAATGTCTTCAAAATGATCGAATAGTTAACGCGAATAAATTTTTTTACTTAAAAGGGTAGAAGGAAATGAGATATTGAAGAGATAGAGCCCAATGAAAAATCTCAAAGAATCACTGATTCTATGGGACACTTTGCATCCTTTTGTCGTTTTTAAGGGAACAGTATAAAGTTGTGGAAGAGCTTTTAAAATTGTGGGAAAGCTTGCTTTTATACGCAGGTACCCAATCCTTTGCTCCCAGATCAGGTAAAATGAAAAGTAAAAAATTGCAGCACGGATGGGTTTGTGTGGTGAGAGGTTCATTGCGCTGGGAGGATGAAATACATGACGCGTGTGTCGCACTTCGATATTTGCTTTTTGACACGGACGATAAAAAAGAGCACGTGGGTTCTTAAGGAAACAAGTATTTTATTCTGTTGATGAATTTGTCCACGATCCGCTGCCATTCATCTTTCGTAACCAACCGACTGCATGTTCTACAGTTCATATTTTTTTGGTGGGATGTCCTCATTTGACAATGTGAATACTTTTCTAACTCATCGCAGTCGCTGATATGCCAATTCAACGCGTGAAAGACATGTTGGAGAGCTAGCAGGGTATCATCATTAACCGAGTGCGTTTCGCACAAGATTATTTCTGAAATGGACATAGAAATTTACTATGTTCTCACCGCTGAATGCTTCGAGCGAGTCAAGTTATCACCACAGTGATCGAACAGTGTTCACGAAAAGATAATAGATTGCAGGATCCAACATCGTTTTATGCGAGTCAACTTGATATACCAATATCCCAACAGCTGAGTGTTTTGGGCGTGAGAGATGCCTTCTTGGTGAGGCTGGTCAGTAATCAAACCGGCGCTTTAGTGTGCTATCCGAGTCCAGGCAATGTGACACCTGAAGGACAACCTGTCTCAATGCTCTATTTGAGGGGACCGGTTAAGTCAATTTTGCACGCTCGGAGATATATTCAGGTGGATTGTTAATTTCATTCAGTGTTTCACATTGCAACATTCGGTCTTGCGTGAATTCAGTTTTTAAATTTGTGTACACTCCTTTGAACCAGCTTTTGAATAAATTCAATGATGACTCGAATGAAACTGTTGCTGTGTTCTTGAGCGAGAAAGATTCATTGATAGAAGGATTATACAGTCTCATTTGATCGTAAAATTTTTTACGAAACTTCAGGTCAGAATCCCCTCATAATACCAGTTGAAATTTCAGGGTTTACTGCCTGTGCAGTTATTTTTTGATATCGAAGGTTGTGATCTGCTCGAGAGGGTTGATCGGGCACAACGAAATATAACGAAAAGGGATGATATTTTTGGAGTCAACATCACGATTACAGCAAGTCGCATCGAAGGTGAACAAATCAGTGAGGATGACTTTATGCGGGTTGGTTTTCCGAAGAACTCATTTCCTGTCCTTTATTCAACACCTTAAAAAGACAAATCGGTCTCATACATTTGGCATGAGAACATTGCTTTTGATGAATTGAGCTGATAAATTTGAAGATAAAACATTCATCGGTTTTAAGTAACACCGTAATGCCTTCAGCATATGGTAATGATAGAATCAGGTGAATTCAACCTGAACAATGTGTACGCATTTCGTCATACTCTCTATCGTCCTGGTGTCCTAAAAGAGCCAACAGTTATCACTGATCAATACAACTTCTTTGATCCACTCGTTAAAGAGTTGGTATTTGCAAATAATAAAGTGCTTTTTGAGGTTAGTTCAGTGACCTTCCCATATTCCAAAGGCCTCTTTGAAACGCATCAGCCTTACTTTTTTGTGCACAACCAGTACTTAAAGCAGGGAATAAAGGTGAAATGGAGTGTAAATGAATGGTGCATGTTGAGGAGGTAGAGCGTGTTTATTATTAATCAACGAAACAATTGATGTCTGTTACATATTTGACGAAATCAGGGCGACTTTGGAATTTCAATCATGCGTTAGATATTCGTTCTCTCAACAATTCAGCTTCATCATTTGATGTGCGAGAACGTTTTTTTTTT